CCACTGTCCACCCTATCTAATCCTCTGATCATCTTGTATGTCTCTATTAAGTCACCTCTTAACCTTCTTCTCTCTAACGAAAACAGCCTCAAGTCCCTCAGCCTTTCCTTATAAGACCTTCCCTCCATACCGGGCAACATCCTGGTAAATCTCCTCTGCACCCTTTCCAATGCTTCCACATCCTTCCTATAATGCGGTGACCAGAACTGTACGCAATACTCCAAGTGCGGCCGCACCAGAGTTTTGTACAGCTGCAACATGACCTCATGGCTCCGAAACTCAATCCCTCTACCAATAAAACCTAACACACCGTACACCTTCTTAACAACACTATCAACCTGGGTGGCAACTTTCAGTGATCTATGCACATGGACACCGAGATCTCTCTGCTCATCCACACTACCAAGAATCTTACCATTAGCCCAGTACTCTGTATTCCTGTTACTCCTTCCAAAGTGAATCACCTCACACTTTTCCGCATTAAACTCCATTTGCCACCTCTCAGCCCAGCTCTGCAGCTTATCTATGTCCCTCTGTAACCTGCAACATCCTTCCGCACTATCCACAACTCCACCGACTTTGGTGTCATCTGCAAATTTACTAACCCATCCTTCTACGCCCTCATCCAGGTCATTTATAAAAATGACAAACAGCATTGGCCCCAAAACAGATCCTTGAGGTACACCACTAGTAACTGAACTCCAGCATGAACATTTCCCATCAACCACCACCCTCTGTCTTCTTACAGCTAGCCAATTTCTGATCCAAACCGCTAAATCACCCTCAATCCCATGCCTCCATATTTTCTGCAATAGCCTACCATGGGGAACCTTATCAAACGCTTTACTGAAATCCATATACACCACATCAACCGCTTTACCCTCATCCACCTGTTTGGTCACCTTCTCAAAGAACTCAATAATGTTTGTGAGGCACGACCTACTCTTCAAAAAGCCTGGCAATTTGAGTGCTCATCCAGATGCTTCTTAAATGATATGCCTCTACCTCCCTCTCAAGCAGTATGTTCCACATTTCTATCACCCTCTGGGTGAATTTATTTTCTGTCAGATATCCTCTAAACCATTGCTCCTCACCTTAAACTTCATGCCCTCTGGTCTTAGACATACCTGCCAAGGGAAAGGATCCTCATGATCTACACTGTCTGTGCCTCTCATAATTTTCTATACTTCATTCAGATCCTCTCTCAGCCTCCTCTGCTCCAAAGAAGACAAACCCAACCAATCCAGTCTCTCGTCATAACTGTGACTTTTCATCCCAGGCAACACCTTCTGCGTCCTTTTCAGTGCAGTCCTCTTAGTTCTATTTCTTGTTTTTTTTTCTGTTCTTGTAATGTGCATATGTTACACTGTGTTGAGATAAGAGAGACTTGAATGACATTTCAAAACTTTGTTATATTATGTACTTAGATCAAACAAAAATCCATCACAGTAGTTCTGTTAATACAGGAATAGCACTTTTTTTCTTCTTATGTGGGATGTGGGCATTGGTGACTGGGCCATTATTTATTGACTTAGTCTATTTGGTCTAAACCCAAATGCTGTTAACAACGGAATTTCAGAAATCTAGAACATAGGAACATGAGTAAGGTCCTTTGACCTTGTGCAATTATCAGTGAACATCTCCACTTCTGACCTGATGTTAGAAGGAAGGCCATTGATGAAACAGCTAAATGCAGTTGGGCCTTCACTACCTTCAGGAATCCCTGCAGAGATGTCCTGGAGCTGAGATGACTGACCTCCATCTTCCCTTGTGCCAGGTATGACTCCAACCAGGGACAGTTTTCCCCTGATTCTCATTAATCTAAGACGTTTTGATGCCACAATGGTAAATGCAGTCTTTATGATAAGGGGCAGTCACTTTCATCACACCTCTATAATTCAACTCTTTTGTCCATGATTGTACCAAGGCTGTACTAAGGTCAGGAACTGAATGGTACTATCACGATCCAAATTGAGTGTTAATAAGCATATCATTTTGAAGCACATGCTGCTTGATAGATCTGCTGATGACTCCTCCTATTACTTACTTGATTGAGAGTAGAGTGATGGGGTAGTAATTGGCAAGATTGGATTTTTTTCTGCATAGGACATAACCGGGCAATTTTTCACATTGTCAGGCAAATTATCAGTGTTACAGCCATACTGGAACCCTTGACAAGTTCTGGAGCACAAGTCTTCAGTACTGTTCAAAAAGTGGTAGATGCAGGTACAATTACAACATTTAAAAGACATTTTGACAAGTACATGAATTGGAAAGGTTTGGAGGGAGCAGGCAGGTGTGACAAGTTCAGTTTGGAATATATTAGGTATGGACTGGTGGGACTGAAGGATCTGTTTCCATGTTGTATGACTCTATAACTACAGATGCTGGAAATCAGAAACAAAAACAGAAATTGATGGAAAAACTCAGCAGGTATGGCAGCATCTATGGAGAGAAAACAGAGTTAACATTACCAGTCCAGTGATCCTTCTTCAGAACTGAGGTTTTCCAGCAACTTCTGCTTTTCTTTCTTTAGTACTGTTGCTGGACTTGTCTTAGGACTGATGGCCTTTACAGTATCCACTTTTTTCAACTTTTTTTTTAATAACAAGCATATGTGAAGATGCCTCTGAAGGGCGTCAACATAGATCATCCACTCAACACTTGTTGCAAATGCTTCAGCCTATTGCACTGATGTGCTGGACTCCACATCATTGAGGAATGGGGATATTTGTAGAGCTTCCTCTTCCAGTGAGTTGTTTAATTGTCCACCACCATTTGTGATTGTGTGTCACAGGACTGCAGGGCTTAGATATGATGGGACTTGCTACCTCTGCTGTTTATAATGCAGTTGTCCTGATTTGTAGGTTGATACCTAACTTTAAGGTATGTTTTGTGTTGCTGTTACCTTATGATGAGGGAAAGGTCATTGATGAAGTAGCTAAAGCTGGTTGGGTCTAGGAACCACCATGAACAATTGCTGCAGAGATGTCTTGGAGTTGAGAATGACTGACTTCTGACAACCACAATCATCTTTCTTTTTTAAAAAAATCAAGAACAATACTTTAAAAGGGAGGAAGAAGAGAGCAGGAGTTTTAGCAGAGACCATGTGGGAAGTCAGAACGGCTGTATAGTTCATCAAAAAACTTAACAGTGAATTTTCACAGTTGACTGCCTGTGAAAGTACAAGTATCTTTGAAAATTGAAGTCAATGAATGTGGAGATGGAAAAGCACAGCTGTTCAGACCACAGGAAAGTCAATGTTTTGGGCTGAAACCCTTCATCAGGACATCTGGAAATCGGAGTTCAGTACAAGAAAAACTGTGAAATTTCACAGCCGACCTTGCAGAGACCTTTATTATTAGAACTACTCACAGCTGGGAGTGTCAGAATTTCATTGATCAGCTAAGTGTTTGTTTTTAAGACTTAAGAGCTATGTCTCTTGATTATATTTAAATTATAAAACATAGGTATTAAGTTATCCTAGAGCAGTATTTTTACAGCCTTAAGACTGTGCTATTTGCTGGCACTGTAGATTAAGGTGCAGAGATGGCCTTTAGTAGAGTCACGTGCCCTCCCTGTTAGATGTGGGAGATTGGGGAGAATTTCAGTGTTCCTGAGGAGTATGTCTGCAGGA